GGGTTTCTGATCCTGCTGCACGTACTGGCTTTGTGGGAGCCTAGGCAGTTTGGATGCTCACCTTACTAGACCTGGAAGGAGGTGGGTGGTCCTTGGAGTTCCCACAGGGCAGGGAACCCTGATTGCTCTTTGGGCTGATGAGGGAGGGGGACTTGATTGGGGGAAGGGGAGGGAAATGGGAGGCGGTGGCGGGGAGGAGGCAGAAATCTTTAATAAATAAATAAAAAAGAAAAGTGCCTTGACTTGCAACTGTTCTTATAAAAACTTCAAACTGCTACCACACTGGAACATGGACTTTGTGGTGTCCTCAATCTGTGTTCCTAGGCCATGGTCACTCATTTTTGGCTTCAGAAAAAATCATCTTGTATCCCTTTTGAGTGAGATCAGTATTTTTCACACTGCCATTCATTAACCAGAAAAAAAGGGTAAAGTGGCTTTTTCCTGAATGTTTAAACCTTATAGAAAGACCGGGTTGCATCCTACACGAAGTGACTGCATATTGCATGTAACCGTGATTTTTATGTTCAGCTTTGCCCCGAGTGACTCCATTTTGCCACGGTGCCTGGCTCCATGTAGAGCGATAATGTGGATGAAGGAAGACTCTGTGTGGTACCATGCGCATAGGTACCACTTGTGAGGCACAGGCTGAGAAATAACTTATTCTAGGAGCTAAAAAAGAATCTCTGTAAATTTACCAAAGTCATTTAGGAGCACAGGCACATATGGCGTACCAGAAATACCAGAACCAAGGATTTCCGGAACACACCTGACCGAGCAAGGGTGCACATCCCACCATGAGGGTGTGCTATGGTCTGATGGTGATGGTCCCTTGAACCTGTCAAATGACCACTTGCTGTGTGCATCAAGGGACAGAAGGGTAGAGAACCCCCCCCCACTGTCTCTGGGGCTCTAGCTCAGCTTGTCTCCACTGCTCATTGTCTGTCCATCTGCCCACTCACCCAGACCTCACCTCCCTCTGCAGAGCTGAAGTCCTGCCCCCTGCATCTATAGCTCTACTCTGTGACCCTGTGACCCTGTGACCCTGCAGCCCCACTCTGCCCTTTCAGGAACTCTCCAGCTGGGTGGCTGTAGCTGCCTCTGTCTCCAGTTAGGCATCCTTGAAACCCTCACTCCCTCTGCAATCACTCTGAAACCTATAAACATACAGAGCATAATTCACATGTGGTGTGTGAGTTGAGGTTCAGCTCAAGGGTAGAGCTTAGCAAGTACAAGGCCCTGAGCACCCTCCTCAATTCCAAACAAACAGAAACCAACCAAACAAACACCATAAAATTGGAAAAGAAAAATCTGTGTTTGCTAATAGCTCAGAAGGGAAGCCTGGAGTAAGGAAGGGGTAGGTTGTGAAGTCTGGAGTAAGGAAGGGGTAGATTGTAACCAAGGAAATCGATGCAGTTTGTGAACCCAGTTAGGTCTCAAAGAAACTCAGGAAGAAAGACTGAGATGCCCATTTAACATATCAAAGCAGTCTCTGGCCCCAGGTGCTCTCAGCATCTCAAGTACCCCTTACAGAGTCCTGGCTGCTCTCAGCACTCCTCAACTCCACCCCCATCACCACCACCACCTGGTGCCCTACCCTAAACTTCTCCAGCACTTGAGCAAACTTCGTTTCCTTTCCCCAGCTTCTCTTTCCAACCTAACAGCCATTTTGGCCCCAGGCTGTCTTGGCTCCACTCCTTGATCCTCAGGGCCTGCTTGCTATCTCTACTCTTCTCTCTCTCTTCTCTCCCACTCCTCCCTCCCCCATGACTTAGTATATTCTGCTGGCCCTGTTCAGTCTGGACTCTTCCAGATTCCATCAGCTGTTCTCTCCCTCGTGTCCACAATAAAACCTTCCCTTCAACCATACCTGGCCTTGGCCATGTCCTCATTTTCATTCAAAGTCTGACCCTGAAGAAAGACCTAAACATCTCTATGTTGCTGGCATAGTGTGCTCATGCCTGTTTACATCCTAAGGCTTGCTTAATTTTTAAAACATGTGCATTATATCATTTGAAGAACATAACTTAGCCAGAGGGTCACATATACAGTTATTGTAACGTGTGAGTATCTTTCTCAAGAAACCCACACCTATAGCTTTGATGGGTACTATAATCTCTCTACCTTCCCTCTCCCTCCCTTCCTCCCTTCCCCACCCCTCCCATTCCTTCTACATACTGAAATTTCTCTTCAATCTTAAAAGCTTTCCTTGCCTCATCCTAAAATTCTTGTCTGTGGCATAGTCCAGCTTTACTGTGTGGTGGGTCCAAGTGGGGGGGGGGAGAAGACCTTGGGCTGGGGGTGGCAGTGTTGAGCTGTCTCTGTTGTCCCTGAGAGGAGCTACTCTGGAAGTGTAGGACACAGTCAGGGACACAAGGCTTCCCCCTTGAAGATCACAGCTGCTCCTCTGGCTGCTCGGGCACGCACCAGCACGCCCCGATTAACTTTACAGTTGTACTGACTTATCCCAGCCCAGCCTGATTTTTCTCTAAAGCTTTATTTTTCCTGCTTTGTATCCCAGGAGGCCAGTGACCAGTGGAGAGACTCATCAAAACTGTGAGCTGGAGAGGGGCCAGGCTGAAGGGATGCTCAGGGCCGGCCTGTCAGTTATGTGTGTCTCCATCGGTTGGGTCTTTGCTGTCTACACACCCAGGGAAGTGGCAGCTCCATGCTCCACGGTGCTTGTTAGAGGCAAGATAACCCAGATTCATTATCACTTGGTGCAGTTCCCTTCCTCCCCCTGGTACCTTGCATCCACACTTCCTCGGTCTTTTGTCAACTTCCAGCTTGGCCTATCAGCGGTCCCTCCCCACAAATCTCAAGAAGTCATAGACATTAAAATAGAAATGTCTTTCCAAACATGGGGTCCCAGGTCTGTAATCCCAGAAATCAGGAGACTGGGACTCAAGGAACATGATCTGGAGGACAGCCTGAGACTTTCCATATCCCTCACCATCCCTTGTGCTCACCCCTCATTCTGTAGATGCCTTGACCCAGGCACTCCCAGGATGCTGAGTCTTGTTGTTTTTTGCTTGTTTATAGCTCATACTCCTCCAGCGCAGGGAGGGGTTAACTCAGAACAAGAAACCCATTTCTAATGTGTGGATGTTTAGCTGTTAATAACACACACACAAAGGTTCCGTCTCACAACGTGGGCTACAAATGTGTCTGTAATACGTACCACAGCACATCTGTCCCCCCCATCCCTGGGCTGTAGAGAGAGAGTTGGAGAGAATGGCTGCTGTTGCCAGGATCTTCAGATTGATCACCCAGAACTCCTGGTCCACAGGTAGCAGTGGTTCCCTGGCTGAGTTTTGTTTCTTGGCTCCTTTCCCTCCTTCCTCTGCCTTCTTCCCCCACTTTCTCTCTTTCCCTTCCTTCCTACATTCCTTTGATCCTTCCTTCTCTCTTTCTTGATTTATGTACCCTGACCCTCTTTTCTCAGGGTCTTTCTCTGTAGACTGCCCCTCTTCCCAGTGTTGTGTGGCCACCAGGCAAGGGGAGTATTTGTTTTTGTTTTTGCCACAAACAAAGCACTCTTGCTATGTGCCTTTCATGAGAACTGAGATCTGATCTTTTCTGTTGTTATTCTTGATTCACATGGCAGCCCTGCTGCCCTGCAGCTCACAGTTCTCCTCATATGCCTGACTCCCAAACACTGGGGTTACAGAGAGACCCCACAGTCTTCCTGCACCCCTGATCCACCCCTGATCTCTACACCTGCTGCACCCCCATCCAGTGCTACAGATTGAGTCTGAAACCCTGTACATGCATTCGAGGCACTGAGCTGCATCCCAAGCTTGATATGATTGAAAACATTGTTAGGAATAATTGCTCATCAATGTGCTAGACTTTGGTGGCTTCTCATGGAAAACCTTATCTTCTCTGGGTGGATGGGGGTGGGGTGGGGGGCAAGGTGGGGGGAGGAGGATGAGGGGAGGGAGTGGGAATTGGGATTGGTATGTAAAATGAGAAAAGATAGTTAAAAAAATAATTAAAAAATATTTGCTTGATCTGGAGAGATGGCTCAGCGGTTAAGAGCTTTGCCTGCTCTTCTAAAGGTCCTGAGTTCAATTCCCAGCAACCACATGTGCTCACAACCATCTGTAATGAGATTTGGTGCCCCCTTCTGGCCTGCAGGGATACATGAACACTGAATACATAACAAATAAATAAATCTTTAAAAAAATATTTACTTATTTGCAGGGTGGGAGACACATGCTTGCCTATATATAACATATATAAATACATACATATACACATATGTGTATATATACATACATACTCACATATGTGTATATCTATATATAGCTACATGCCACAGCACATGTGTGAAGGACAAAGGACAATGTGTAGGAATCAGTTTTCTCTTTCCACCCTGTGGATTTTGGTGACCAAACCCAGGCCATTGGGCTCAGCAGCAGGCGCCATTACCTGCTAAGCCATCTTCCAGCCCCCATCGTCTCAGCTTTAAGGAAAGACATACGCTACAGAGAAGAAAAAGGGAGTACAAGTGGGGTCATTTTATTTTTTCACAACATAGGATGTAGGGCAGAGAAGGGCTCATCAGAGTTGGAGAGAAGGGTGAATCCTGGAAGGCCCCAGGGCCCTGGGGACACCTGCAGCACTGTGGGAGCTGAAGCCCCTCCTGGTGACAGTGACACCTAGGTCCAGGTGACACTCAGATGCACTTTTGAAACCTCTTTTCATTTGTGAGCTTGGTTCTCAGGTATTGTCACCAACTGTCACCTTCGCACTTGGTACTGAGCTGTTACCTGAGGCATTTTGAGGTTTTTTATGTTCCCACTGGCTATGATTATTCAAAAAAAAGCACCGGTTGATTTTCAGTATAGTGCTGATAGGAGTAAGTCCTGAGAAGAAAACATCCCGCCCAGGAGTAGAAGGATTTCGCATGTAGTAAACTGAGCTGTAGTTTCTCAAGGATCACTTGGCCTTTCCTGCTCATAGAAGCAAGGATAAACTGTTCCCCCTGCTCAGGGGGTCTGGCTGGCCCTGACCCCTGTCCTGCTCCAGCCTGGAGTCCCAGGCTAAGGCATTTCAGCAGGATCTCAGCAAGTGCCGCAGGCTCTGCAGGGCTTCCTGTAGCCCCTGGCCCGTGAGAGCACTGCAGGCCCGGAGCTCCCAGCAATGGTCTTGAAACCTTTCCAGGCCTAGCCTGTTTCTGATTTCAAGCAATGGAAGAGCATCAGGCGCCTCCTGCTTGTTGGCCAGTACCAAGAAAGGGACGCCGGCCATGTTGGGGTCTTCCAGGACTTCCTGGAGCTCAGCCACTGCCTCAGGCAAGCGGGCTTCATCGGTGCTGTCTAGCACATACACAAGGATGTCAATGCCTTCCAGGTAGTCCTTCCAGGTAGCCCTGAGCTGCGGCTGTCCCCCGATGTCCCAGAGAATCAGTGACACACGTCCAGGAGATTCAAGGGGCTCCACATTGAAGCCCACAGTGGGTGAGGTCTCCACCAGAGGATTGCCTTTCAGTTTGTATAGGATCATGGTCTTGCCAGCAGAGTCGAGGCCCATCATTACCACCTGGGCTTCTGCCTTGTGACCTCTGGAATTCACAGAGCCCATGGTGGCCTCTAATAAATCCAACTGCAGAAAGCCTGGGGCGCGCATAGGCTATTCTGTCTTCCTGAAGAAAGGCGAACCCATGCAGACACGCTGAGCGTCTACCCTAGAACGAAAGAAGTCGTTTCAGGGAAGGCGTTCAGACCCAGGCCGGGCCTTTGAAAGGTCCAGGAAGTGAGGAAGTATGAGTCTCTGATCTCTGGCGCGGGTGAAGGACTGTCTGAAGATACAGAAATCAGGTGTCCTTCCTAGGTAGTTAGAGAGGAAGCTGCCGCCAGACCCTGGTCAGTGGAGGAGGCAGAAACTGTTTTCAGTTTGCACCGTCTGAGGCCTCTGGCCCTTCTGGGTTCCTCCCTAGACCCAGAAGAGGCAGCACACTGCATTCCAGACAGAGTAGAGAAGCCGGGTCACTGAGTGCTGACTTTTTGGAACTCCTCCCAGGCCCAGCACACTGGCCTCTCTAATTTCTATTGACAACCTCTGCTGATGCAGGCGGATTTGAGTCTGAGCCAGGACGTTTTCTACACCATCTAGAAGGTCTCTAGAAACCCTAGTCTTTAAAGCCTACGGACTGTCTACAGTTTAGGAAGAACTTGGGGGAGGGAAGAGGGAGAAGACAGCACTCCTAGGAGTCTGCATCAAGGGCCCTTTTTCACTCCTGCCACGGGCAGGAGAGCAGGCACCGGAGTTACCTCTGTGGTGAGCCTGGTCTGTGGCAGGTGTCCCTCCGCCAAGGCACTCCTCCGCCATCAAGCTGCTCTCTGCTGGTCGCCAGTCCCAAGAGTGAGGCCTGAAGGAAGTGTGGTAACTGTTGCAATTTGTCCCTCTTCTGCTTCCTCTCTCAAGTGGTTAGGGCGGACATCCTCCCATAGTGGGGATGTGCCTCAGAGACATGGTAGTTCTCCAGTGGTTGGTGGAGCCCAGACCAGCACCAGTTCTCATTTTTGGCAGCTGAGTCCCAAGGTCTGTGGGGGATTGCGCAAGCGCAAGCGTTGCTGCTTTCTGTGACTCTTTGCCTTGACTCCTGTGACGGACCTCCGTGGGAATTCTGAACACAGGGGCACGTGCATCGGTACTTTTCTGGTGACTGGAGAGTCTTAGATTTGCAAAACGGTGAAGCTTGTAGCAATCAAAATGGAGTCACTTGTCAAGCCCCAACAAAAAAAGGAGGAAAAATGAATTAATGAATAATAAATAAGTAAATAAAGGAGGGGATCTCATGCATACATAACTGATAAGAATATTCATAAAAGACTAAAACCACAACCTTACACACACAAACACGCGCACGCACACACACACATGTGCACACACACATACACGCACACTCACATGCACACAATGGTTATACAAAGATGTCTGCCCAGCAACTGTTTTATCTTGGAATAGTACAACCCTTTTGATTTTTCTTTGTAGCCTAAGTGGTTTCAAAATAGTTTTGTAATCCTCTTATATTGGGTGTGTGCATGTGTGCACATGTGTATGTGTGTGTGTGGAATACAAGTATGTATGTGTGGGTATATCCACACGCACAAACATGTGCAGGCATGTGGAGGTCATAGGTCAATGTCAGGCATCCTCTTCAGTTACTCACTGCCTTATTTCCTAAGACAAGGTCTCTCACTGAACCCCCAAGGTCCTTGTATTTCTGTATACTTGAATCTCAGCCTTTCCTAAGGCAGCCCCTGTGGATCTCACTGACTTGGGTGCATGAACCCACATTGCAGTGCTTTGTTAGTACCAAATAAAGAACATTAGATGTCAGAGAATCCCTCTGTTTAGTCAGACAGAACCATATGTGTATTAAAATGTGCAGTGTGATTCTAAACAAAAAACTCTCCAAAAGTGTGTGTGTGTGTGTATGTGTGTGAGTATACACCACACACATACACACACACACACACACACACATATGTCAAGGAAAATCTAAATAACTGTTTATGCAGTGACACTATGGGAGGAAGGACTGTGGTGGTCTCACTTTATAGCTAGCTGCTCTTGATCTAGTGTCCCGAGGACCAGACCTACAGAAAAGCAACGTTAGCCATTGGTGAGGGTGATGCTGCAGCAGATGCTTTGCCTCTCCCTGGGCTCCATCTCTCTGTGGTCCACCATTGTCAGGTGCCATTGCCTATGTGCCTGAGCACTTTATATGTGGACTTCTCTTCCATTTTGTCATGCTACCTTCCTTTTATTTAGTCCTTATGTTGACTTTATCTCAAGATCCTAGGGGTGAGTAGTCCTGTGTAGAACAGGAGTTGGGCAGAGCCTGACTCAAAAGCTCTTTGCAGTTGGGCCGGTTGGCTGTATACCTTACCTCATGGGAGGAGGGAGCAGAGAGGGTAAAGCTACCCTAGCTAAGGCTGTGCAATTCTTCCCTAATTGCATGCTGTCTTGGGGTCTTGGGGGAGGGCCTAGAGGATGTAGGTGGGGATAAAGGAAGGAGACTCCAACTACACAGCCATGCAGAAGCTGCCCTCCCTCTTGGGTGCAGACCTTCTAAAGTGTCTGGTTAAGGTTACCTATGATCCTGCCTGTAAGCCACCCCCATTGGCCTGATACACCAACTGGTTCCCAGTGAACTCTGCAGGAATCGCTCTGTGGTTTATCCCTGGGACCTGAGGGGGAGGGGACATGTTATTTTTGTCTCTCCCAAGGAAGGGGTTTGGGCAACACAGTGCTATTTACAGTTTCATTCCTACATCTTCAAAATGGCCATTGGAAATGTGCTCTGTAGGGGAAGCCCCAGCCAATCATCTTGCTTGTAGGTCGGGGTCCCCTGAGGATATTTTTTACTAATAAATATTGCTGGTGTGCTCCCCCCCTTCCCTTCTGCTTTCCTGTTCTCCTCGGGAACTTCGGTTCTGTAAGTCTTTTCCTAATTAAAGCTGAATATTTTATTATAATTTCTGTCTGCCGTTCATTTATGCCGCTACAATGCTACAGAAAAATGAGGGGCCTTCCTTTGTTTTGGGGTTCAGCTGTAGCGAGGAACACAGCTGGAGGAAGACACCCATGAGTAAGTGGTCTGAAGAGGTGGGGGGCAGGAGGAGGCCCTGAACCAGAAGTCCTCTGAGATGACCTGTACTGAGCGAGTGGGCTGTTTCTTCCACCCAGAACGTGGGCTTATTCCTGTGTGGAGCATGCTTATTTCTGCCCATAACCTGTAGGCCAGGAGGGGACGTGGGTGTCTGTGTGAGTGTGGTGACAGAGAAGCCAGATAATGCAACCTTCATGAAAAAAATGTCATTTATAACCTGATGGGTAACAAATCGTTACTCACTATTTAGGAGGTGGAGGCAGGAAAATTAGAAAAAAGTCCAGAGTTTTCCTTGGCTCCATAATGAGTATGTGCTGGGTTACTGAGCTGGAGACTTTGTTTCAAAAGTAAAGAACACTGATGTATGAATGTAGAAAGGTCTATGCCAGTCACAGGGCACAGTAGACAGAAAATGGGAAGAAATTTTTCTTCTGTTTAGAGAATGTAATAATACCTATGTATTTATTTTCACATACTTTTTAAAAAAAGTAATCATCTATGTATAGGGGGCATACGGGTTCTGTTGCACCCTCTCAAAGGCCCCTTCTTCACACGCTTGTAAGTGTATTTGTGAGCACCCTCTTGCAGGTTTCCTAGCCGGCTGTTCTCACCGGAAGTGGCTGCGTTATTGTTCTCCACAGCCTCCCCCTCCCTAGGAAGGCAGAGATCTGGCTGTCCTAGCTTTCTAGTACTGGCCACAAGCATGGCATTCCCTGAAGCTGCGTATCTGTAGCGAACATACTAGAAGGAATATTTATCCTGGCAGCGGCACCTGGACGCTGCGCTGCCTTCCGTCAGGGCCAGTTCTCCAGTGCTCCTCAAATTGCTGGACCTGTCCTGGTACGGGATCTCACACCACTGCTCCGAGGTGCTGCGTGGATAGGATGGTCGCTTACACCTCCGCGGCTCTGGCCACATTCAGCTCTGCTCTTGGCTGCCTGGGCCATTTTGATGATCTTGGTGAACGGGAGTGATGCCCTTTATAGCTTTCACGGTCTTTTATTTCTCTCACTTCCTGTCTAAGCAGTTTCATGAATCCACAACACTTTCCTTCCCTATGTTCAGCTGGGTGCATATTAACAATGTTTGCCAATGACAGCCCAGGCTAATTATAGCTATGCTCCCAGTGGTTGTAATCAGAGTGTATATACACTCATGGGTTCTGATTGTTTTCATTTAAGATTGTATTGAAAATTACATGATCTTACTCCAATCTCCAGCAGAAATAGTGTAATGTCTTCATAATTATACTGTCGAGGATACTGTGAACTACTGTCCTCTGGGCACCGTAGGGGTTACATTCTAAATCCAAATTGTTGTGGTCACCTACAGGCCTTTCTCAAAATGGGATCTGTTGACAGGTGCTAGGTGGTGGGGAGAACCGTTAGACATTGATATGCGATTCTAGCCACTGTTTCTAGAGTCTCCCGATTTCTACTGCCCCTTTCTGGGACCGGAGCAAAGACAGAGTATACTGAGTATAGAGGGCTGGTTAAAGGGGGCACTCTCTCAATGCCACCATGGGGAAGTATTCACACCAGCTGAGGTAAGATTTGGTGATGATGTTCTTTTGGGGTTGCTCACCCTCCTATGATAATTCCTTATGAATATGACTGTAAGAAAGAAAATAAAACCCACAAACTCCTTGGTGCACTGACCCATACTTGGATGGAATTATTACTTGGTCTTTGTTGATACCCTGAGATGGATAGACATTTGTGAATTTCCATAAGAAAAGTCCATGCAACAATGTGGTTTATTACTGAAATCTACAAAGAGCAAAAACCAAACCAACCCAAAATATCCCCCTGCCCTCCAAAGGAAAGTGTTAAATTAGCGAGTTATTTCATCAGATAGATTACAGGGTTGTGGCTTCTGGGACAGAAGAAATGAACACTCCCTGTTGCCGAAGAGCCTTGACATATAGGATGCTGCAGTACCAATTCTGCTTTAGATTTACAGGATGCTTATCTCTTCCCCCCTCTCTCTGTTATAGGTTAGACTTCTTAGTGACACCCATGGCTGAGTTCTTTAGCGGTGACAGGAGGCAGTGGCTGACAGTACTGTCCCAGACCACTGTGGGACGGTGGCAGGGAGAGAGAGAGAGAGAGAGAGAGAGAGAGAGAGAGAGAGAGAGAATGCAGTCTATCATGGTTGTCATCGTTACCCCTCTATCAGCTGCTGTTCCTTGACTCCTCAGTGTTAAGTGTTTCACTCCCTCCTTTCTCCTTTCGTCAGGACTGACACTTGAAGTCACAGCACACCTTGTGGTATGTGTGGGGCTCAGTGCAATGTTGTGGTACACTACAGGTTGGCCTTCGGCCCAGGCTCCCAAAGGAATGCATCTTTCCACATTTCTATTTATGATTATATGGACGGTGGGTCCTTACACAAAACAATTATCCACCTCCAAGTAGAACTAAAAGCCCAAAGAAAGAATGACGGCTGTCTTCTCCCATCTGTGTGTGTTCACACATTTCCTGCCCAGTGTCTTCCAGCCATTGTCACCTGTTTATCTCACTGGCCAGGGCATTGCTCCTGTCTCTCAGTATCTGAATAAAATAGCATTACTCTTAGTGAGAAGAAAGCAGGAGTGGCGTGAGATCAAAACACTATTGCTACATTTACCCTCCACCGTGTTCCATGTTAGCTTTTTGTTGCACAAGGCAATGCTGTCTTCCAAAGCCTTGGCCTTGGACCTGTGCTAACAGTGTTTAT